TAGTGGATATTTTGGTTTGGCAGGTAAGAAAGATTTGACTGAAGAAGTGGTTTCTATGAAAGTGTTATGGTGGAATAACAACGTTGAGGACTATTGATGACTTAAGCTGAGTTGCTTTTCAATAATTGACAATTATTCATGTACACAAACTTAATTGGATTTTAAATACCAAAAAATGTAGTTTATATGGATTGGTTCAAGCTAGATATACAAAGCCTTGTAAGTGGATTTTCAGAACTGGATTTAAGATTTGCGAACGTAAAAAATATAGACTTGTAAACAACACAATAGCAGCAAGGAATACAACCAAGAGATTGCTCGAACCCATTCGCGGATGAATGTTTTTAAGGAGGGGAGAATGTGAGACCCCGTGGTTCTTTCGCATAGTATGTGTATCATTGCATGAGTGTATGAGCTTTATATAACTTGGTGTATCATTTCAGGAGAATAAGGTTGCAAATGGGAGGTAAAAAGAATAAAATCAAAGAATTAGACTAATGTTATGGGTCAAGGATGCCCTAAAACAAGTTCGAGTTAAAGAATGTCTATTCTAACACCCCGCCCGTTCAAAACGCTTAAGTTAACCGGTACCTTTGGGGATAAGACAAAAAGTGTCTTATATGCTAATAGGGATGTTTTATAAGGTGATATAGTCACCCAATGATCGTAAGTTAAGTTTTGAAGTCAAGCAAGTTGAATATAGTTGCCCAATGATCATAAGTTAAGTTTTGAAGTCAAGAAAGTTGGGAAATAAAAGTTGACAAAGGTTAGAGTAAGTTTCTTTAATAAACCTTCTAAAATTTGGGATAAATATCCCAGAGCTTTTCTCCGAATATATAAAGCTTTAGAAGAACCCCAATATATGAAATCGAAGGTCTACAAGTCTACTTTCCAACGCACTAAATCATTTGTCCATACGACTTCATAATTGAGAGATATTCAGATTGTAGTGAGACTGCACAAGCAGGAACGTGAAGGTGGGTCCCTCACCCCTATGTCGGTTTAGCTCTATAAGATTTCGTTTCCCTTCGTTCTAACTCATTTTTTTCGACCAAAAAAATAGAAAGAAGCAGTCATAAATCCTCTCTAAAGGTTCCCTTATCATCCAAGCAAATATCTACAAGATTTCAATGTTGTTTCACCCACGGAATGTTCATAGAGATTATGTTACTTCTTTCCTCCTCGTTGGTTGTGATTTGAAGGATTCTTC